CTCAACATGAAAAAAAAAAGAAAAAATAAATAAATCAACTGATGAAATGACCACTGTTTGACAAAAGAATACTGCAAAAAAACTTTCATCTGGAATTGCACCTACTTCTAGTCTGCAACTTTCACATCTGTATCAGAGGCGCAGCAGACATTCAAATGTCTGAAACAGGAGCCAAGAATCAGGGTGAGCCAACAGTCTCAGCGGGGAGTATCAGAGTAGAGTGCTTGATTATCAGGCCTTTGTGTGTAAATGTAGGTAACATGCTGAGGCCCAGATATCCAGACACAGCAGGAGCGATGAGTCTGTCTGCTGGCTGGAGGAGGTGGAGCCCCTCTGAGATTGCCATTAGGGGACCCTGAGGGCACAGAAAAAGGAGAAAGGACCGATTAAGCAACTCTCCCTTCACTTCTGGCAATCTGGAAAGCATCAGAATGTGCAGAGGCCTGAAAATGAGTGGCCTCACTGCCCTATGAACAGGTGAACAAGCCAGGTGCTGGACTTCTGCCAGGACTTTTTTTTCTTTCTACTGTAGAAAAATCACACTGTAGGTCAAATATCACATTCCCTAATTAACTTTCACTGACCAAAAAGCTGAATTTCCATGATTTTCTGTCAATTCAATGAAAAAGCAGGCCGTTTGTTGTGTTTATACATTAATAATATAATATTAAAATCAGGACCCTAGCTAGCCTATTGAAAGGGCTGGTTCTTTTTTTTCCAAAAGTAGACCTTTTTGCAGTGATTAGCTTCATTTTCTATTAAATTATCAGGTACAAACACTGCATTTTAGTGACATTTTAAGCACAATTTTTGTTGCATTTGCATTTGATGTGATCATAATCACGCTTTTTGATGCAACAAAAATATTTCCTAGATTTTGTCAAAGTGCTTACAATCCTATTTTAAGTGTTTATTTACAGTGTTGCCAGATAAAGCAGACTTTTTCCAGCCCAAAAGTCGTCCAAACCCACCCAAACACACAAAAAATGCCCAAAATATTAGCTTAATATTTAATTTTAATTTATTTAAATCGAAATTAAACCTAGCTACTTTACCTGTTATTTATATTTTTAAACCATAAAGCAACCAACATTAGCAGTCACAGAACCACAGCACAACCGGATCACATCGAAACACTTTCCTCATCTCACCCACACACTGCACTTACCTACTGTTGAAGTCACAATTATTGGCCCCCGTTTATTTTTTTTATTATTATTTTTTTAACCAAGTTCTGTTTAATGGAAAGATTTTTTTTCTCAACATTTCTTAACATAATAGTTTTAAAAACTTATTTCTAATAACTGATTTATTTTATCTTTGCCATGATGATAGTGAATATTATTTTATTAGATATTTTTCAAGACACTTCTATACAGCTTAATGAGACATTTAAAGACTTAATTAGGTTAATTAGCTTAACTAGACAGGTTAGGGTAATTGGGCAAGTTATTGTATAATGATGTTTGTTCTGTGAACCATCAACAAGTACAAGTGTTTTACTCTCGAAATGGGGTATAAATTCATCTAATTTGCCGTTTCAAATTCTTTTGAACATAATTAGGTGCTGCTTGTCAATTAGACAATGCTTATGTTTTTTCTTGCTGTTAATTGTGAAGAAAAATTTATTAATAATAGGATTACAATTTTAAACACAAAATAATTGAACAAAGAAATATGAAAAAATGCTTATTTGTCCAAAAAAAAAAAAGTTTATTATCATCATTATTCATTATCATCATTATTTATTATCATCCATTATTTAAAAAAAAAAAACAATTGGGAATTAAACTTGTTTTTTAAATTAAAAACTGTAGCATATAGGCAAATAACAGCTCATTTTCTTAGTCTAATTTTGTCCATTGTAATTATTGAATTTATTTTAAAAGCCTTGTTCTATTGGTTATTTTCACAATTTATGATGGCATACTGTCAAATATGGAATAAACGAGCTGATATAGCAGCCAAATTCTTGATTTGTCAGCAGGGGAGTGGGTTTTGTTGAGCCACCCGAACTCTCCCAGGCTACAAGCCTGAAAATGATGTTAAAATAATAATATTAAAATTGTTTCAGCTTGAATATCAATTTGCAAGAATTTAGTAGCCACTATTAGAACAACAATTGATCATTTACCTCAATTTTTGAAAATAAAAATGGCTACAAAGTGCTCTCTCCCATATTTGATAGCTCGATAGTAGTGTTACAAGCTTTAGATTTAGCTTTATTGTCATTACTTTTAAACTTTGGAGTGATCAATTAAGGCAAATGCTCTTAAAATGCAGATTATCTTGTCATGTTAGCCTTAATTACCAGGTCCAGCAATCATAACAATATGTGTCAAATTGCTAAATATAAACAATATTAATAATAATAATGATATAGTATCGAAAAATGTTATTTTGAAAAATGGAAACTAACATTTTAAACGACAAACAAAAATTCCTGATATTTTTTTTATAATAGGACAAAAAAAAAAGTTTAAATGGTCCTTTAAAAATTCCATGATATTCCCAAAATTCCATGACCTACAGGAACCCTGCTATTACTTATGTCATAACCCAAATAATCCCTCTTTTATATGATTCCGCCAACTCTGTAAAGTCATGGTTGCATAATTGGAAAACTACAAGTGCAGTGGCTATTCAGAGGGGACGGCGTGTTCCTCATGGAGTGCTTTGTTCCACACGGCCCAGTATGACCTCATAAGTGTTTCTCAAGGAAATCCCTCTCCCTTCGAGGTACAATGACAAAGTTTCCTGTTTAAGAAAGCAGAATCCGGCTTCTGGCTTGCTCACACTCACAGCTGCCTTATGTAATTCCAATGCAATTTTTAGACGGCTCACGTTTTATGTATTTGTGCATCACACACTCTGACTTATTTATTTAGTCATATGGCTTGTTGGACAGTGTCTGCACGTCAGAATAAAGGAAGTGAGTACTGTGGAGAACAATATAGCTCAAAACATCCTGCATCACAGCTATGAGTGTATTTTCAAATGGAAACAATTCATTTGCAAAGATTGTATAGAAAAGAAATCATGCTCAAATATACAGTTGTGCTGCAACATTTACAGCTATTGTTGGTAGTTTGTGATTCACGGGTGTTTCATTTATTTTCACTTTCAAATTGCATTCTGACATGTCGACGGTGCCAACTATTAAATGTTGAAAATTCAAGACTTTGTTGAAAGGAGGATGCTGAAACAGTGACACTTTCTGATATTGTGCCAACATGAAAATGTATTTTTGGGGTCAGCTCAAAACTGGAAAATGAGTTGCAATTAATTTGATTTTACTGAATCACTTCTTAAAAGTGGTAAAATAATAAAATATTATTATAACAAAAGTATTACAATATAATATATTATTACAATATTCAGGGCTCACAACATTTCAAAATCCCTGGTAGCCCTTCAGGCAGACACTCTTCAGTTTTTGGTAGCCTAAATATAAATTCAGGTAATGCATTATTTATTAAATTAAAACAAAAACAAACATTTACAGAAAAAAATTATAAAATGGCATTTGTTATAGGCTTTATGTTTATTTTTAAAATAACACAAATATTATTTAACATTGTTATTTGATTAATATTTAAATAACATTGTTTCGGGTTATTTTTGGCAATTTTAAATTTTAGGCAACTAAAAAATAATAATAATAAATAAAAAACTTTCCAGAATGTTACAGGGTAGTTATTTTTTATTTAAAAAAAAATAACAATTCAGACCTGGATGTGTTTCTTTTTTTGGTGAACATGTAAGAAGATATTTTAAAGAAAGCATAAAATGCTTCAAAATATTTTTATCTGTAGAAAAAAATAAATAAATAAAAATAAAACCGGTTTGAAACCGATTTTGAGTAAATAGTGAGTGCGTTTTTGTTTTTGGGTAACTGCACCTTTAACTATCCTTTTAAGTGCAATTTTAAAAAAAAATAAGCATTTCCTTTTACTAGCTAACAAACCAGAACAGGAATTATGATCTTAACTATAAACAAATAAAGATGATAACCCCCAATTTATAAACAGAAATATTTTTAATGAAACCGAATTTAGGATTTAACAAATATAATTTAACAGTTTCTACACACTAATGTGTGCGTGTGTGTGACTGGACTTCATAAATGTAATCTATATTCAATTGTAACTTTTAGAAGTAAAACAATTACATTTTGTACTCTCTACATAAATTTGATGTTGTTTAATTTACAAACAGAAATAAATTTAAATGAAGCAGATTTTAGTAGGCCTATGACAAAAACATTATTTAACAGCACACACACAGGGTAATATGCAAGTGTGTGTGTGTGTGTGTGTGTGTGTGTGTGTGTGTGTGTGTGTGTGTGTGTGTGTGTGTGTGATTGACTTGACTCATCATTGATTTAAAATGTGAATCATATTCAAATATCAAAATTGTTTTGATGTAAAACAATTGACCTCAATTACAAATATTTGTATTCTTCACATTAATTTAGCCTTTTTCCTTCACTTTCGTCAATTGGTGAAGTTTTGTTGGGGTCTTTTGGAGCTGCGTCGATGGATTTGCTCTTCAGTGTTTGAACTTTCAGCAGTGTAATTTAACCCACACTGAGCTGAACTAAACTGAACTTCAACTCTGAAAACTGGACTGACAGAGTTTCAGTTTAACTGCTATGTTAAGCTGATTTAACTATCTAGCTACATTGTAAAACGCTAAATAAATTAATTAATTAATTTTATGATGTCCACGAATTATTTATCGTAAATACGTTTGCATGAATTGTGCACTTTTTAATTAACTTCGCAGATAAGAAAAAAACACAAAGCCATATAAAACGTCAAAGTATCTTCAAGTTTGCAAAGCAATTCATTACCCAAAGTAAGTTGCTGTCTCAGCAACCGCAGACAGAGCAGAAAGAGGAGAACAGCCGAAAGCCAAGACCAGCCCACTTCAAGAAGAGTCCCGATCCAAGGTTCAGATCTCACATCAGCTGCTGCCCGCTGCCTCAGTCGGTTGTGCGCAGGACATGAGGGAGAAATAAAGGAGCATTTGTCATTTTCATTCTTCAATACTTCCAACTTAAAAGGTACGTGAATTTACATCTGTGCACGAGGTTTCATTTAAACATCGATTGACCGACTGGTTGAAAGAGAACTGTGCGAGTAAACTTTTGCAGGGACTTTTCGTGCAGTTACAAACTGCTGGATTAACTTTGCTAGCCCAAAAATTGACTAAAAGGAGTGATCGTGTTTGTCTTAATCTAACGTTAGAGCAAAACTTTTGAATAAACTATTGAATTGTTTAACGCAAAACGCCCAATAGTCGTGCGATTATTTACTATAATCTACATGCAATGAATAATTCCCGGGATAGTCCTACTATCCTTTAAAAATTTAAATAATTGTAGCGCTTAGGGAAAAAAGGTTTAATGCTAAAGCAAACCTGTTAATTCGTTAAACAGATTTTGTCGCCATATAGTGTGTAGTTTGAAAGCTAAATATAAAATACGGGGGAAACAACGTAGATGATAGTGTATTTAACACGATAATAGTTTCTATCATTACAGGAAAATACGATATAACAAGTATATCTGTAACTAATGAAACTGTATTATAAATAGCACATTTTGGAGACCTACTTTAATAGCACAAACAGATCATGTCAACATTAAATAACTATCCAATGTAAAGTCTGTAAAATAAACTGTCGCCAAATGAAATGACATACTAGTAACATTGACAATGTTTCATGTAAAAGTATTATCAATTCTTTTTCCAGTAGGCTACTGTACTTTATTTTAGTCTGCTGACTTATTCTAATTTATACACTGTTTTACTTACACAATTTACTTTGAAGTAAAACCCAAATTGTGAGTGGAAAAAAATATTTTTGATGTAACTAAATGCAATCTGATGAAAATGTCCTTTAATTTAGATAACAGTGCATTATTTGAAAACACCTATTAAATATTAAGCATGAAAGTAACATTATTTAAAACAGCATGTGATAAATGTTAAATTTATATTTCATTGTACATGCATTTTTATGTTAACAAATATCTAGTTATATTTTATTAAACATTATTGTTGTAATCCCATCAATTAACATTATTTTCGAATGCTTTATTTCAGTTCCCTCTGGTGGCATTGGAGGATATAGCAAAGCTATGATTTAAGCATCAACAAGGAAAGGAGTGCATATTTCGCCTTAAGGATACTATAATACCCTGTTAAATCCTTAAGAGATTGCTTTATGTGATTTGGTGGAATATGGCAATAAGGACTACCTGTTCAACAGAGATCCATCAGCGAGTCTTTTAAGGTCAGCAGAAGTGAAATGGAAGCTTCATACGCTGCCAGTGCTGCCATCGAACCGACTCCACCACCCATGACCTCATCCCCAGGTTACATGTTCAGCATGTTTCGGGAGTACCAGAGCAATGCGGTTATCATGGCCCATTACAACTTCACCGGGAAGCTAAAAGAGAATAAATACCGGGATGGACTGAAACCCGAGGCCATTGCGTTTCTCATCATTTGCCTTCTCATTGTAGTGGAAAATGCGATTGTTTTGGTGGCAATATGGAAGAACAAAAAATTCCACATGCCAATGTACTACTTACTCGGCAGCTTGACGCTGTCTGATCTGCTTGCCGGTTTCACCTACATGGTGAACATCGTGACTTCAGGGGCAAACACTCTCAAAATGACTCCAGTGCTGTGGTTTCTTCGAGAAGGTGGTGTGTTTATCACTCTTGCTGCATCTGTCATCAGTCTCCTCGCTATAGCTATTGAGCGGCATGTCACGATGGTCCGCATGAAGCCGTACCAAGGAGCCAAGCGTGGCCGGATGTTCGGTTTGATCGGTGCAAGTTGGCTCTTGTCAATTCTCCTCGGCATTCTTCCAATCATGGGCTGGAACTGCATAGGAAACTTGGACGAATGCTCCACTGTCCTGCCGCTTTACGCCAAGAGCTTCATCCTTTTTTGCATCACTGTTTTCACCCTAGTTCTGATGTCCATCGTGGTGCTCTACGTGCGGATATTCCGCATCGTCAAGTCCAACACCCAGCGGTTAGGCTTTGGCACGCAGCGTAAAGGATTGGCGAGGAAGTCCCAGAAGTATCTGGCTCTGCTGAAGACGGTCACCATCGTTCTTGGCGTCTTCATCGCCTGCTGGCTGCCCCTCTTTGTGCTTCTTCTGCTGGACTTCTCCTGCCCTGCTCAAAGCTGTGAGGTGCTGTTCAAGGCAGACTACTTTTTGGGCATTGCCATGATCAATTCGCTCCTCAATCCCATCATTTACACCCTGACTAGTAAAGACATGCGCAGAGCCATTCTAAGACTGGTCTGCAGCTATTGTCTGCTAACAAAAGATGGACAGGTCAAGAAGTTTGGCATGCCGTTTCTGGATTGTAGCACCAGTAGGGCAGAAGTGCCGTCACACAGGCTGGAAGGCCTGGAGACCACAGTTTCATCAGGGAACTTTACACCATCTACTATTAAAGCCATTTACCCAAGGATACTTAAGAGTTGAGGAGAAAGAAGAATGCATTAGTTTTGAATAAACCAGGTTCTGGTTTACTTTGAATATTTATTTTAAATAAAACTGCCAAGTAAACAAGTCTGAAGCAGAAGTCGGAACTCATAAAAGTCCTGTTTTGGACTTCAGACTTGGCTTCCTCCACATGCATTCAAGCAAGCTATGCGGCTGCCAGAGAAAGTGGTTGACCAGACAAGAGGAATTTTTGTACTGTGATAAACACCAGTGTTTAAAATGGACTGTCTGAGGGTCAGACTTGCAAGTCAAGAGCTACAGTGCCTTTGTAAAAATAGGATTTTGAACAGCAAATAACAAGCAGCTATGCAGCAGAACGATGCATTGCACAAAAATGCTTTGAAAAGACGTCTTCTGATGTTATACGAGACTCTCGTTTTTATTTTGTAAAAAAAATATGAGTTTGTGTAACGAGTCATTTCCACCTCCAAACAACAGCTGAATTGTTCAGAGACTTTGTGGAGAAAATGACAGGTTGATAAAGCACATTTGTTCATGGGTATTTTAAAAATACATTTTGTAAGAGGTTTCGTTCTTATAATGGTATTTTTGGGAAATACTTTATTCCTGTTTAAGCTCACCATACACCGTGGTCTGCATTTACCAAAAGAGGAAATTCTAATGGCATTCAGTGGCACAAGCTATATATAAATATTGTATATTTTATAAATATTGCAACAAAGTTTTGTATGCTATTTTATGGAAAGCCTACATTTATGTGTAGCAATCTGTCATGATAAAAACAGCACTGACATTCAAGCAATATTGCATTTCTGTAATTTAAAAAGAAAAAGTGTCTGTGTACAGAAAACGATGCATTAGTACGTGTTTAAATGTATTTTGTTGGTCCTAAATTATAAGCCTTAAGACAAACCTTTAAGTGCATTAATTAAAAGTGTTTCTTAAATATTTGTCTTGTGTTCTTTTGAGCCAGAGGAACTGACTCATTTTGCACTACATAAATTAGAGTGTGCTTCTAATGATTACACAAAAAATATTCATTATATATAGATTCCCACAAACATTAAAGACAAACTTATACATATTATGTAGGTGTATGTAAAGACAAGCGATAGAAAAGCTATTCATTGTTATGATTTGAGCAGATTATTCTGGAAAGTAATAGTTTCATTTAGCTAAAACATTTAATTAACACAACAAATGCACATATGCAACTTTTAAAGTCAATTACAAAACTATTCTCTTAAATTGAATCAAGCTAATTTCCATTTGCTTCTATCACACCCACACCACATGTTAACCAGGCATAAACTAAACTATGACAATATTGTGGTTTTGTCATTTCACAGGGCAAGAGCCACATGTACAACATTTTCTCACTGCTCTGGCTTCGTGAAAAACCCCTACAGAAAAAAAGATGTATGCTCGTGCCAGTCCGGATGTTTACCAAAGCTGAAACTGCTAGTCTCTGCACCTGAAGGGCCTGATGTGACTCATTTTTAAAGTAAGACAAGCAAAGGTTAAACTGGTCACGCGAACCAAGTAGGATGACTAGGCTTTTAAAAGAATAGAACACCCATCCATAGGTGCAATGAAAGAAATTCAATATGCCAATAAAGTGAAATTAGAAGCAGTGAAAGTAGAACGGTCCAAAAAAAAGAGGGAGGGGCTAATTTTAGTCGTGCCAAAAAAGTGAAAGTAGAAACAGTAAAAGTAGAACAGTCCAAAAAAAAAAAAAAAAAAAAAAAAAAAAGAGAGTTGGGAGCGTTTTTGCAAGTAATGACTAAAATTTGCCTCTTCACCACCCCCATGGATGGATGGATGGATGGATGGACGGACAGAAATATAGATAGAGATAGATAGACGACAGACAGATAGAGGCTTTCATTGATAAATAAATACGAAAAACAAACAACAACAATTTAGACGAAAATGTTATTTTAGAAAGGAGTATAAGTTGCAAAAAAGTACCTATTTACAAAAACACTGAAATAAAAACAAACAAAAAAAAAACAAGTTTAAATGAATGCAAGATACAAGCCATATATGCTAACTCTTGAAAATCATTTTTTGTCATTTACAAAAACCATACTTCAGTGATCTAAATGTCCTCTTTAAAAAAACAAGATCCTAAATTTGATAGGATCAGATTCACTGCTCTGTGGAAATCTGAAGGCTTAACAATAAAATGTGTTTCTAAATAAAGAGGTTCACATTTCTATTTTGTTAACGCACTGTGCATTGTCAATCAGCTTGGGGAATTTGTGAGGCAGTGACATCTTGTGGCGAAAATGAGAAATATTTACTAACAGACCTGCACATACAAAAAATACACGCACACACACATATATATCAAACAGTAAACAAGCTAACGCTGTTCACATGCAGCAGGTCTACCATTCTGTCTTAACCAGGCTCCAGAGCTCATCGCTGACCTCACAGGGTGTACGGGTGGAGGTGTCTATGTTGATGGGGGTCACCACATCCGCACCATAGTGAACTATCAAGAAGACAAAAGGAATTTGTAAGCTCTAAAATCATACCAAGTGATAACACTGACCTTCAGCATATGCTGTAAATGTGTCAGGATTACCTCCTTTCAGTATGTGCGGCTCTGTGTCAAACTCCAGCTTTATCTTGGTCACTTTAGAGTAGAGCTGAGCAACATATCTGAATCAAACAATCAACAAAACAATCATAATCATAACCTTAAAAAGAACCTGTAAGTACTTAACCTATTTAATTATCGCAAGTAATAGCCCTGAGAAAAATCTTTCGATTAATTATTATGTGACAAATGTTGAGGAAGTCTGAACATACACAGGGATTCTGCAGAATTCAAAATGTCAAATTTAAGACTTTTTAAAGACCTTTTAAGACCATTATGAAATTTCGGACTTATACAGGACTTTTTATATTATATTATATTATATTATATTATATTATATTATATATTGTTATTTCTTAGCCAAATGTTTTGAGTAAATAGTCAAAATAAGCAAAACCTAGTAGCACATACACACATTTTTTAAATAAAACATATCTTTAAAAACTATAATGAATTAAATGTATGCACAACAGTCTGTCCAAATCAGTGCCCTCACCATATACAGACTATAAATACACAGAGAACTTTTAAACAAATATTATTGTAAGGATGATAATTAAACAATACTGTGAACAGAGTTTTGTCAAAAGTTCTATACAGAATGAATTGTTGGTGATTGGATGCGTGTTGGGCAGCTTTACACATACATAGGAAAATTAAGACCCATTTACAATTATTTAAGCTACAATTATTGACCTACAAGACAAAATTTCAGTAAATGTAAGGCTTTTTAAAGAGTAAATTTTCGTTAAATTAAATTAAAGACAAATTAAAGACATTTTTGAGACCCCTGTGGACACTCTGATGACAGGAATTGTTTTCACAACATTCTAAATACAACGGGCAACTTGTTTGTTGGCATTTGTCTGTGAGATGTGAATTGGCCTTTAAATGTGTTTAATAAGCGTTTCACTGCAGTTTCTGACTTTAAGTGGTCTCACAATAAAATGAATGTAACTGAAAGTAACAAACCTCAAGACCAACCTTTGCAAAAACCAGGTTTGTTATTAAAAATTTACAGACTTGACAAAGAATGAAAGCAATAACAAATTAATCACTAAATTGCACAAACGTTATTATTTAATATGGAACAGTTTAATAACTGCTTTATCACATTTGATTTACTCTATAAATTCTAGTAAAGGTTGACAGTTATAGTTTAACAAAAAAAAAAAAGAAATCATACTTATCACTCTCCCTCAAGTGATTTCAAACAGTTTTCTTTTCTTCTGTTGAACACAAAAGAAGATATTTTGAAGAATGTTGAAAACCTGTAACCATTGACTTCCATAGTAAGAAAAACAAGTACTATGGAATTCAACGGTTACAGGTTTTCAGCATTCATCAAAATATCTTCTTTTGTGTTTAACAGATGAAAAAAAAAAATACTCAAAGGGCGAGTAAATGATAGAATAGTCTTTTTTGGGTGAACTAAGCCTGTAAGGGAGCTGTTTTTATTTGGCTAACAAAGCATTTAAAAACATTTATGCACTATATTAAGATACATGTTTGGCATAGGAAATGTTTGAGAGCAGAGCGAGAACAATGTATAATAAGTCTTACATGGCTGAAGGAATGACCTCAGTTGTGTCCTCATCCACTTCCTGTTGCAGGGTTTGGATTTCTTGCTCAGCATCTCGGAGTCTTTCCAGCTCTTTCTGCAAGAATCTTATCCATGTGCTAAGGAGACATTCAATTAAACTCATCTGTATTTCTGTAGCGCTTTTGCAATGTACAATGTGTCAAAGCAGCTTAACATAGACGAAATTCTAGTAAATTGAAAATAAAACAGTCAAAGAGCATTAAATGTTCACACTTTAATAAAAATATAATTATATTAGATTTAAAACTATGCATTTACTAGACACTACTTTATTCAAGAAGCTTTTTTCTTCTTACAGAGTGAAACATATTCATAACAAACAGGGTGAAATACATTTTGGAATGATTTAATCAAAGTATGGTGTGATTGCCTTGCTATAAATTAATTCTGTCAATTTACTCTCCCCCTCTACTTGTAAAATGCCGTTTTGAGTTTCTTTCTTCCGTTAAACATACAAGAAAATACTTTAATAAAATACTCAAAACAGTGACACGGTGGCTCAGTGGTTAGCCTCACAGCAAGAAGGTCGCTGGTTTAAGTCCCGGCTGGGCCAGTTGGCACTCCTGTGTGGGTTTCCCCCAGTCTAAAGACATGCCCTATAGGTGAATTGAATAAATCAAAAATGGCCATAGTGTATGTGTGTTTCCCAGTACTGGGTTGCAGCTGGAAGGGAATCCGCTGTGTAAAAGATATGCTGATAAGTTGGCAGTTAATTCAGCTGTGGTGACCTCTAAAGAATAAAGAGACTAATCTGAAGGAAAATTAATGTATAAAAATATTCAAAACTGGTATACGTTGACCTTCACAGTATTTCTTTTCCTACTATGAATGTTAAATGGTTACCGTCTCCAACCTTTTTCAAAATATCTTCTTTTGTGTTTTAGAGACAAAATAAACCCATAAATGTTTTGAAACTACTTGGAGGTGAGAAATTTGTCATTTCTGGATGAGCTATCCCAGATGAGATTATTAATTAAAGCCAGTCCACTGTCCTTGTTAAAATATGCATGAATCAATGTGAAAAACATTCCTTTTCATCAAAAAAAATGTAAAAAAAATCTATAAATAAATAAATAAATTTATATATATATATATATATATATATATATATATATATATATATATATATATATATATATATATATATATATATATATATATATTGTATGTTCTACATTCAAACATGTTCTACATTCAAATTCACCATTTAACATACAATTAAAAATTCACACTAAAAAACATTAATTGTCTGTTCCAATGATAATTTTTTTTAATTATAGTTATACATTGTATATTCTCAGAATTATAATTATATATTCTAATGGAATAGTGGAAGAGGGAACCGCAAAATATAAAAAATTCCAAATTAGAAGTGTACTAGGTTGTTATGGTTAAGCACAAATAAACATTTGTGCCATTACACCAATTTATTTCCAGTTTTTTAGCACTACAGCAATTTAGTTAAATATGGCAGGCAGTTATACAAAAAGATTATTTAAGTTTGAGGAAAAAATGCTACTGAAGGATACTCCAGCTCTGAGTCCAGGTTTTGACTTTTAGACTGGCTCCTCTGCACCTCCTGCTCCATCTTCATGATCTCCTGCATCATCTGGCTTTTCTGTTGGTCTAAATCCAGAAGCTTCTGGCCGACCACCTCTTCTGTGTGCACAAGATCTTTGACAAGACAGAAAAAAGGATTTTTTTTTATATGCCAATTGTTTGTGCATGAAAAAGCAAGATGAACAAACTACTTTAACAACGTTCAGGATTGTACCGGTATTATGCAAATATTTGTGGTTTAATGCCACCAGTGATATTTTAGCATTAAGGAACTATTTTAGTATCTTTTAACAGTTCTATTAACAGTGAACAGCTTTTTACATTTTGATTTTTAGTATTTTTTTAATTTTATTAGTTTTTTTATATAACTGTAAAATATTCATGTTGCTTCAATGATTTTTTTCCCATTGAGTATCTACTGTAGTTTTAATTTCTAACAAGCTATTAACAGTGGGCAGTTTTTATGTTTGAATTTTGTTAAAGTGTCAGTAAATTGTTTTTAATTTAATTAGTTTTTTATTCATAACTGTAAAATATTTTTGTTTCAATTACATTTTACCATTGAGTATCTACTGTAGTTTTTTTAATCAGTTATTACAGGGTATATGCAGGAATCCTAAAGGTAATTTCAATACCTTTAAGACTTTTTAAAGACATTCTCAGAGTATTTTAAGACCTCATCACCACTTCAAGTTCTAATCAATATCAAACCTTTAACTTAACAAACAGTTGTTAATAAACAGTTGTAGTTAAATAAATCAATGGAGCACAACCATACAACAGAACTGCGATAAGCTTGAAAAAAAAACTTGAAAGAATAAATTGAGCGGTTGTTTTCAGCAACAGGCTTCACCCACTGTTTAAACTCATCTTTTAACCATGGGTACGCAAACTTACATTTTCCCATCTGTTTTGCTCTATAGTTTCGCTACATGTGGAGAGCGTCACATCACCTTCCCGCGTTTCTCGCAAATTACATTACATCACCCAGATGGAGGAGCCTGGCCCGAACCAATTGCGTAGATCAAGCACGTCTTTGTTAATATTAGGAGAAAAATAAATATATATATGCTTTTTGGAGTCAAACATTTGAACGAAATGTAAGACCTCGTAAAAACACCACTAAGACTTTTTAATGCCTTTTAACGGCCTTCATTTCCTCATAATTGATTTATCAACTTTTAACGCTTTTTTAGACCGTGTGAACACCCTGTATTAACAGTGAACTTATTTACTTTTGAACGTTTAGTTAAAGTTTCAGTAAACTGCTTTTATAATTTTATTTATAAACATTATAGATTTTAACAGTTAAGTTTTTAAATTTTGAATTTATTAGTTAGTTTCAAAGTTTAAGTAAATTGCTTTCAATTGTAATATTTTTTTATAACTGTAAAATATTGCTGTTGTTTTAATGATATTTTATAATTATAAATTTATTTTAAAAACTATTGTTTTTTTATATCTTATCAGTTTTTAACAGTTAAGTTTTTTATGTTTACATTTTTATTAAGGATTCAGTAAATTTTTAATATTACTAGATTTTTTTAAAAAATGCCTTTATATATATTTTTTAAACATAAAATGTTTAAACATTGAACAAAAATGAAACACAAATTTTACTACCAACTGCGAAAATTTTAAATGTATACACGTATAATTTTCTTAATTAACATTTATTTATTCAAAGTAAGTAAATTATTTCCAGTTTTATGTTTAAAGTTTTTAAATACCTCGAATATCCCTGATATAAACTGATTTTTGACATATCATCCTTGTTTGGATAACAGGAGGAATTAAGAAATAACATTTTCTTATGAAACAGCACCTGCATGTCACTTGTTAAATAAAAATTGCGATCAAAGAGGGCTTGATTGTTTCTATTTTACTATAATGCATATCTGAGTCCAGGTCATAATAACAATAAAAAAATTAAACATGCAGGAATTCACAATAAGTCCTACAACTTTAGCATTTAGACAATATATTTAATTCAGCATATAACACAACTTTTAACAAACAAGCAAAGGCATACAATGAATTTTTGATGTATTTTACAAAGTTTATATTAATCAGGATGTAAAAAAAAACTATTTCATATCATTGCATTACAATCAAAATCAGAAAAGTTAAGGTTATTAGGTACCATAGGTTTAGCTACTTTCTAAAAACTTAACAGTTAAAGAAGTATATTTGTGTATTAACTGTATGTGTATCAGTGCTGAAGTAATACCATTTAGGAGCTCAGTAAGCGTCTTCTTAGTCTTGATGTAGTGGTCGAAGAACTCCTGCTTTTTTTTCCTTGCTGCTTGAAGAACACTTTCTGCCTTACTGCTCATGATGATCTCATTCAAAGATTCTCCTAATTTCTCAAGGTCATCATCATGCATCGAAATGCTATGGGACATCTCTGCATTAGTGATATTTCTGTAAAAAAAATGAATAAAAAAAAGTTAAAAAGTATCGCATAAGAAGGTGAGCTTATGTGCCATGACAGAACATTTATTTATTTATCAGAACATACATAAATATTTAAACACAGTGATACAAAATCAGCACAGGTTTAAAGCAACAGAGAATTAAACACTGGTTGCTATTAATATAGTAATTCAACTTTAAACAAAAACCTAAAATGTTATTTGCAAACAATTTTAACTTAAAATGTTAAAATGGCATATTATTCAAAGCTTACCAGTAGGATTTATTCCTATTCAGAGACTTTTACAGATTACTTTTATTTTTCTCTAGAACTATTTAGTTTAAAATGTGTATTCTTTTGAACCTTTTTTTCTGATTTTTTAGCAAATGCATTTTATTCATTTATTTTTGAAGAGCCATTTGGATGTGTATGTGTGTGTGTGTGTGTGTGTGTGTGTAGATAGATAGATAGATAGATAGACAGACAGACAGACAGACAGACAGACAGACAGACAGACAGACAGACAGACAGATAGATAGATAGATAGATAGACAGATAGATATCAAAATGCCTTTTTGAAAAATTACAATAAATAACAAAATAATATTAAAGTATTAGTATTATTACTAATACTACATTATATATAAATAATGCAGGTTTGAACAAAACCTTAATTTATGTCCATGCACAACTCAAAGATAAACAAATATGAAGCATCAACCGTAACGTTGGCTGTATTCTATTCAATTTTAGCGCTTTTACAATGTAGATTGTTTTCAAAGCAGCTTCACATAGAACAGGGGTAGAGAACCTCTAGGTCTCGAGCCACATGTGGCTCTTTGACCAAAAATACGTGGCTCTCCAGCTGTCTTCCTTCAATAATATTCTACCGTTACAAAAAATAAGAATATATATATATAAGAATTTATATATATCACTATAAATCAGTTTCACATTGAAAATACAATTACAATTAACGTTACCTTTTTATTGTAATTTGTACAGCAAAATGAATAAGAACTCGGTTAACAAAAAAGCGGTGTTTAGACCAAAGGTCGTTTGTGGCAATGTGGATTAACTTTATCGAAACACCAATAAAGGGCAAACAACTTATATTTTTATGAAAACTTAAATTTAAAATAACATTCATGAGTGGTGATGGGAAAAATAAAAATACCATAAATTGTTTCTTTCATTCATGGACTTGACATGGTTACATTATAACTTTGCGTGGCACACAGTTCAAAACATTACCAGATTACTGGTTTATAGTTTAAAGTTAGTATAGTACAAGTATAGTTTAAAAAGTTAAAATGCTTTTAAAAAACTTCTTTACAAATTCGACAAAATTAAAATGTTAGCCAGCTAAATAACTTATTTAGGTAACAAATCAGCCACAATTTAACGTTAGTACGTTACATCACAGAATGTAAACAAGCACGTTTGCCTGGCATAAAAAATAGATTAAAAAAAAAAACGTCGATGTATGACATACGGAAAACGAACATTAAAAATATCTGATTTTGTCACAGAATTAAAGTTAGCTTAGCAATGTCATAACTGTTTTGTAAGAAAAAACAGTCAATGTTACGTTACCCGAAAAATCAACCAAACTAACAACGGTTGTGTCTAAGCGAGCTCAAAATAACGCATCTACAAAACCATTGTTACTTAATTCGCCATGACGCGTTGAAACACTGACGTATATTGTATAATAACGTAGTTTATATTTATACATTTCAGAGTAACATTATATAGTCTCACCCAGACTGAACGCCGAAATCCCGATTTCAAACTGGCGGGTGTTCCTTGTTCTTCTCGTTTATTCAGCAGTTAGCGAATCGACTTCTAGTGCTTCTTCGCCACCTATTGGTACGGAGTATGCAGATTTTGAAAAAAAACTTATTTTACTAGGCTTCTTTAACTTTAATGAAACTGTTTGTTTTTTTTTTTTAACTTAAGAGCTTTCGCCCTTAAAGGGCCTGTTAAGCACATTTTGTACATTCATAAGCTTATGAATGTACAAAATGTGCTGAACAGGCCCTATAAGGGCGAAAGCTCTTAAGTTTTTCAAAACAAAGTATATACATCTAATCAAAACATGCTCAGTTTCTGGTCGATGCTTCATCCATGTTTAGTTGTGTGAACTTATTTAATTAGAAAACTGTCCTGTCATTGTCAACATAAATAAAAATCTATCTTAAATATATCCTTGTTAATAAAAAAAAACTGAAAAAACACACTCCTGCTTAAGTCTTGGGTATATAACCTCCTTTGTAAAACGTTTTAACAAATTAAATAAAACCCTTATTAAAATGATTAACCATCATTGAAAATGGAGAAAATAAAAGTATTAAAAAGAAGTCTTCACTCACTGAATCAACACAGCTTTATATTTAGTTATAATGTAACGTTATCTGAAAACTGAACAACTACAGCTAAAACAGAAGACTGGACTAAAATACACATTTTTTCCACTTTCAATAAGGAATGTGAAAGAAAAGGCTCTAATTCCACAAAAACTCTTTTAATTAAAAAAGAAAAACAGAGAAAGCTTTCAGCAATGATTCAGAAACTTTCAAGATTGAAATGAACATGTTAATAATGCAATTTCCTATTTTCAGCGGTTCCTGGTCCCTTAAAAACAGCTCAATCAAAATGGTGTTGATTTCCAGCATCACTGTTTGCTCTTCTTCTGCTGCTTTTCCTGTTTCTCTCGCTCTTTCCGTTTCTGTCTGTACAGCTCTCTGAAGTGGAGTCTCTTTGGATTGAGCCCGTAGGCTTGTAGTCTCTGTCTGCTGAATTCTCGACCGGCCATCTTCACCGTCATGGACTTCAGCTGCCGCCGTCCACCTGAGCGACGCATTTTCTTTCTGGGTCTTTTGGGTTTTTCAGTTCTTTCAACATCTGCCTCTTTCCTCTTGGTTACCACAGTCTCTGCCGTCTTCATCTTTTTCTTAGGAACCAGGAACTCCTCGTCATCCTCCTCTTCATCATTTGCGATGGTCGCTTTGAGGTCCTGGACATCTGCTTGCTCTGCTGGAGGAGGTTCAGCTGTTTCTTCAGTCACAGTGGTGTCGCTCTTCTCCGTGAGCTCGGCTTTCTTTAGACGATCCCTCCTCTTCTTTCCCACCTTCCCCTTGGTATCCTTTTGCTCCTCCTGACCATCATTTCTAAGTAAAAAAAAAAAAACACACAAACACACACAACAATCATTAAACTTTAATGTACTGTAGATTAGATCGAGGTTTATGTGACACAGGGTTCCCATACTATCCTAAACAGCCAATTTAAAGACTTTCAAGCACATTTTAAAGCACCATTAATTTCAAATTAAGCACCTTTGTAATTCACACCCCCAGAATATGTAGTGCCATGAAAGCCCAAATGTACTTAGCATTAACTTACACTTAATATTTAAGTGGTGTCATTTTCTAAAAATTCAGATAGTTTTAAACAGCCATGTTGTTGTCAAATTCAAAACCATTAATATTCATATGTGTTTTTCGAAAATATTTATAAAATGTGTATTATTTGTTATGTATTGTTAAAGATATTAGGATTTTAAAAACTTCTAGTTTTTCTTATTCTGTTTTTGACAGCAGCGTGACAATTGTTTAAATAACACCAAAAACAAATTTAATTTTAAATTTAATTCTAGTTTCAAGGACCCTTCTTAATTTTACATTGCTGAAATTCAAATACTTTCAAGATGTGTGGGAACCCTGGTAATAATTCTGTTGCACCAAACTTTAAACCTTGCTTAAAAAAAAAAAAAAAAAAAAAAAAAAAAGCAAACACAAAACATGAGCTTGGAATAAAAAACAGTCCTTTTTTACAGTCCTTTTTTGATTTCCATAAATGTATGGTTTGTTAGAATAGCACAAGACTAAGCTGAGATACAACTATTTGAATATCTGGAATCTGAGGTTTCGAGAAATATCTAAATATTGATAAAAATCAACTTTAAAATAGTTCTAATTAAAGTTCATATAAATGCATATTTTTATATTTTTATAGTTAAGTTACAATATGTCATAGGCCCTTATGATTTTTGGCATAAACAAATCATTTCGACCCATACAATGTATTTTTGGCTATTGCTAAAAATATACCAATGCGAAATGTTGTGGTCAGGGGCACATGAAACAATTACAGTCATTATGCTGTAAGTATGTTTTATTCTTGATGCAAACTTATATATATACCTTTTTAATTTTAATTATTTTTAATTACATTTTATTTTAAAATTATTATTATCTCTCTATTGGTATTGATGGTTCTATTAAAGAAGTCACGAGGGCACAGTGGGTAGCACGCAGTCGGTAGCAAAGTTTTTTCCTCTGTGGCAACCCCAGAATAATACAGGGACTAAGCCAAAAAGAAAATGAATGAATGGATAAATGAATGAATGAATGAATGAAGGGTTCTATTAAGAATTTTTTTATATCCATATAACAGTTTCAGTTTGATCATGGATTTAAGCTCAGATTTAAATGTTAGCTAAGGACATATTTTAAACTTGATATTGAGGAGGTTTAAAGAATCACAAAAAGGCAGCCCTTATTTGTAGTCAGGCATCCTTTTTTTTACCAATTCTTCTTTCAACTCTTTCTAAATAAAAGCACCATTGCACCATTAAATTAAATAACTAATGGTTTGACTCATAATTTACAGCAGAAGTTTCTCAGCAAATATGGGTTAATTTTTTATTTACCTTTCCATTACTGGCATGAGCCCATTCAAGTCACTAAATGTCAGTTAATAAATGAATTAAGATGAAAGAGTAATACTGCTGCAGTTTAATTTAACAACAATGAATAAGAATTAATCACTTATTTATGTTTTAATCACAGTTTTGTTAATCCATGTTTAAAATGAAGTGGTGAAACTTTTAAATAAAACCATGATCAACAAACCCTTGACTAGCTCTAAACTTTGCCCATCCTAAAAGATCATATGATGGATCATGCACATGATCCTGAAAATGCTAAATCTGGAAGAGTTTCATGTATAAAAAAACTAATCTAAAATGTGTGTGCATTAATGTGATGTCTAAAGTAACACTCACTCATTAAACAAAGACACGAACACTTGCTGTTTCTTCTTGACATTGCGTGCTTTTATCTGGAAGTTCTTCAGGTCACAGAGTTCCTCCCTTTCTGACCTAAATAATAAGAAAAATCTATGAAAACAATGTTGAAGGACAAAATGAACAATCCCAAAATAAACTGTTAATTTTTCTCCAGGTATTTCCCATTTAATATTACTTTTTTATGCAGTTTATTTATATCCATCACAAAAACAACCATTATACACTACCTGTACATGCAGGTCTTCCTTAGTGAGCACCAGCGGTTCAACTCCTTATCACCTGCATTCAGAATCTATGGAAAGAGTGAGAATAACAAAGAAATATTATTCTGATTTCTGAAATTTTTTTTTTTAAATAAATTATAGCACAAAAATATTTATTATATTAAAGGATGCACCAAAATAAGAACTGTGTATTTTTCCAAAATATTTATTTTTAAAGTTTCTGGCAGATATAAAATTAAACACTTAAATAAAAGGAATTAGGAAATCAGTATTTATTTGGTAATACCTCTGACAATCAGAACAGAATGTTTAATGACTAATTTTAATCAGTCTATTATCATTTTTGACCAATGTATTGTGTCCTTGCTGAATACAAACATGACTTTACAAAATAAAATAAGGTAGTAATTAACAGAAAATAAATAATAGTCATTTAACAGTGAATTATTAATTATTTTACAGTTTATATAAGTTTATAAAATAGTTTATAGAATATACAGTGCTGGGCAAAAAAATTATCACCATTAATCACATCCAAAATAAAAGTTTGTTTTGACATAATATATATGTATGTATGTATGTATGTATGTATGTATGTATGTATGTATGTATGTATGTATGTATGTATGCAAGTATGAATGTTTAAATTAGCTGCATTGCTATATTCATGGCAAAACCTGTATATACTATTAAATATACAATATAACATACAATCATATCAGTTTCTTAACATTCGTTGTACAAAAACATAAAAACACTTAAGAGTCATATACAATCTTTAAGCTTGATTTATGATTTATTCTAAAAATCCTCCTGAAGACACCTTTTCAAACATTACCCTTAAATTATTTCCTTAAAGGTGCAGTAGGTGGTTGTGTTCAGAAGCCTTTTTTGTTGCGCTGGTTGAAAGTCTCTTCACAATTTAATAGTAATGATTAAAGTAAATCATCTAAATGTATTTTTATGTATTTTTATATTTTGGATAAGGCATAAAACTAAAAAATGTTCATCTAATAAACAGAGTCGGGCCGACATCTCTCATAATTATGATAAGTAGCTCAAACTGTCTGTCAGCAAATGCAGATTTGAACAACTGCGCAGGCGTTTGTAAGCAGCTCCAGCGGACCGCTGTTTGTGCGATCGGTAAAAACCTGCTAAATCAAAACTTTTTTAAAACCTGAATCAATATTGGAGGTACCTTTGCACGCTGGAAAAAGGATGACACCATGTCTGAAGGATTTCTCTTAGACATCAAACCATTTTTGCTTCAAGCAAAGCTGATGTAACGTTAGATGTTGTTGTTACAAATGGGTTATATCTTCACAGAAGTGTTGTTCAGCCTCTAAAATCTTCCGGTGAAAGACTGATAATACTGTTTTCAGTTTCATAAGTGACCTGTTACAGCATTGATAATGTAGAGTTTAATTAGTTTAACAACAAAACACAAGTAAATACCGCTATTCCGCTTAGTGTCTCCCTATATTGTTTACCATGCAACTCTAATATTCACTCTGAAATCGCATGTCAGTTTGGCTTGCACGCAGCCACACAAGCACTAGTCGCTTTTAACACGAGAGAGGGTTCTTTAGCTGTGCTCGTGTTTCAGGAGGCGTGGCTCTAGACGGCAGGGGAGGGACTGTGATTCAGAGATTTATGCTAAGCTGTTAGCATTGTGGAAGATCACCTACTGCACCTTTAATAAACGTTCTCTAATATCATTTAAAAATACACATTGTATTAAAATATCTTTTATTATCAAAATATTCTTAAGTAGGTTTTTCATCCCCTTTTGATAAATACAAATGTGTGAGTCTTGAGTGTCTGATTCTGCATCTCGTATGTTCAACCTGATCATGTGTTCTTTCAAAATGCTAACTACTTCTTTAATTTACAAATGACTCACTTCATACAATTCCACTTGTCATTTCTCATTAATATACAGATTTAAAACAGGTTTAACATCACATAAGATATATGTGTGTGTACTGTGAATATTTATTTTGTTTATATAAATACACACATGCATGCATATATTTGAAAATGTTTTTTATACATATTTAGATATAAAATATTTATGTATATGATACAAACTATATATAAATTAAAATATATAATCAAAAAACTAAAGTTTTATGCATGTACTTGTATTACATATATCTTATTTGCCCAGCTCCTATAACAAATAATAGTTTACACATAAATGAAAGAAATCAGTAGCTGCTGGAATAACCCAAACTGTCATTTAGTACAAAGAATTTAATGGTATCTTTATTTTTACCTGAAGGTTCACTGTAATTTATGATCAATGTATTGTGCCCATGCTAAAAAGAAGTACGAGTGAAAATATAATAAGATAGTAATTAACATAAAACAATTGACAGTAATAAAACACTAAAAGCAATAACAAAAAAAATCTAACAGGATTTACTGTACATCATTTATAAATCTATATTAACTTCCAGCATCTCCAATAAAAGATTTACCTGAAATGGCAGTGCATGTAAAATCTTCTTAAATCAAATCCTCTAAAATGTGAGCCTAAAGCTAATCTGCACTGGTGGTTATCAACGCAGCTCTGCTCAGAGAGAAGATTACAGTCTTCAGACCCTGGTCAGAGTTACTCCCGGAGGAACAGCAATACCAGGTCAGACACAATCACAGCTCATCAGCACAGAACTTATTTTCATTAAACACATTAAATTCGTGTGGATATGCCTGAAGCTCCTCACCTCATCAGTGCTCAGCCCAAAGTCATTGGCTACCACTTCTCGGTAGCGAAATCTGCACGGCAGGTCATCAATGATGTCCTCAAAGTCCAGTTTATAGTACTCGTCCAAGTACTGCTCGAAGCTCTTCTCGTCTGGAAACAGGGGAACAAATGGGGTTTGTGTAGGCTGAAACATTTTCTGTATGTTCGACCGATGACAGACAGTGTAGAGACGCATGATACTGGCCTTTGCTGATATCCGATAAGCAGATATGTAAGGGATAATCAAGGGATTACTGATGCGAATGCTTGAGGGCAGCGCATTTATTTCTAACTGTGATCAAAACTGACTGGAACCACATGTGCAATACACAATTTTAGCGCACACGTTACTCGGCCAGTATGCGCAGGCATTCTGTTCAAATGGGAAACAAATTCTCCAAAATTGCTTGCCAAGCTTATGATTACATTTCATATTAGGAATCACCAATAAAATTAAACAATAACTGTCTCTTTAGTTTAATTTCTAAATGTTCGAATCACACAAAATCTGCAGAAACTTAAGTCGTTCCGGGACCCTCCCCTGGAGAATTGTCAGTCTATAACTATCAATGATTGGCTCCTTTACTAGAAGGCGGGACTTCATTAGCCATATTGACTGTTTCCACATTCAAAACTATACGAGTGACCTGACTTGTGTATTCTATAGCCTTTAGCTGCATCCAAAATTCCATACTTTTGCACTATACTACGCCATTTTGTAGCATAAATAGTAGTGTAAATAAGTAGTGTGTTCACACTGAAAACTTAAAAAAAAAAAAAAAATAATAATAATAATAATAATAATAATAAGTCCATTTTAGATACCCGGATGATGTACTCATTCAGCCGGTAAAATAAAATGTGGAATGATGGAATCTTCACGCACTCAACACCCGCAGGTTTGCTCACGTAGCGGAAGGGGCAGAGCTATCACACGCACATGTTGGATTACTTTATTTATTTTGGATGGTGAAAGCAAAATTCTCCTATGAGATTGATTATAGCAGCTCCCAATGAAGAATGTAGTTATACTCATGGCAACTGATAAACGTCATAAAGGAAACAATTTGAATTTGCGCTTAGTAAAAAAACATTAGTGCTCCATATGGGACGACACTTCATATACTATGCTGTTGAGTGTGTAAGTGCATAAGTACGTAGTGCATGAGTGCATAGATGCCATTTGAGATTCAATAATTGAATTTTTCACATCCGGGTTGTGAATTTTATATTATTTTGGTGGGTACTCAAATGAATATTACAAATAATCAAACTGTCTAAGTAGTTGCATAATTATAAAATAAACACACAACTATAACAGTTTCAGCAAAGTCCCATTAAGGCAAATTCTTTATCTCAGCAGCCATCTTTGAAATGCCTCTCTGGCATGCAAGTGCAGCTTATATCTCTATGAATGGGGAAACAATGAAGCTGCAGAAACTGTTAAAACCTGGACCGAGCTCCCCCCCTGAAAAACTGTCAGTCTATGGACCATTTTGAGGAACGTAAATAAAAACGGTCCTAACATATATCCTGTTTAACAATTTTAATTTCCATAGCTTCCAAAAACATCCACATACTGATAAATAACTCTTATGATAGCAGTTGTAACACCGTTATGATAGAATTGCCTCTTGTTACAGTTATGAAATAGCTTGAAAACAAGCAAGAAATGTTCATGGGCCAAAGACATCACCACATTGAAATGGTCTATAGCAGAGATGTCCGGTGTCCTGCAGATTTTAGCTCCAACTTGCATCAACACACCTGCATGGATGTTTCTAGAAAGCCTAGTAAGAGCTTGATTAGCTTGCCCAGGTCTGTCTGATTGGAGTAGGAACTAAACTTTGCAGGACACCGGCCCTCCAGGACTGAGTGTGGACACCCCTGGTCTATAGCAATCGATGATTGTCTCCTTAATTTGAATTTGAATGAAGGACAACATCCATACTGTTACATTTTTCCTCATTCAAAACTAAACGCATGATACGTCTTGTGTCTTGGTTCCAGGTTCACCAAGTCAAATGATTTCAATGATTTCAAATTATACAGCTTACAACATTCAAAAATCAAATCAAAAACAAGTGCTCTATAAATTTATTAAACAAGACATTTAGGGTGCTTTCACACCTAGACATTTGCTTCGGAACCTGTCTCATTTGCTCAGTTAGCACGGTGCGTTTGCCATATGTGAATGCAGCAATCACGTTTGGATTCATGCCAAATCAAACGGTCTGAGATCGTCTAAATGAGGTGGTCTCAGTTTGATTGAAGCACACTCTGAAGGGAATCGATTGTAATGAAAAAGCAATATGATTCAATAAAGCAGGCTTTATCACAGTGCATTATGATTATGTAATAGTCATATATATGGCTATATGAAGAGAGAATGGTGAGCAGGGCTGGATGTCATTCCTATTGGTAAATATAAGTTTCATGTTGAATAAGAAAGTGAAAGCATAATGATGTTAAAGAGAGTTGTGTATCTGTTAGGAAATGGTACTGAAAATACGATCTGATGTTTTTGTTTCCATATTTTAATCTTATAATATGTTGTTAGACCTGTTGTTTTGTTTATTTCTGCACTGACACCTCGAAAAAAAGATCAACACCAATCTGCTTCATGATCTGACTGCAGTCTTGCTCATAATGTCTTATTGCTCATCATCATAAATTAAAATAACCACGTTTGACAGCTGAGCAGAATAATAAACCCTGAAACTCTGACCAATATGAGAAGAGTTTACTTGCACGTGACTCGTTTTAACTGTTTTAGTCTGTTTAGAAACTTTGCTGTGTGAAAGCGAATCGCACCAACAACAAAAATAACATTTACTCATAGTTTACTCACACTTAAGTGGTTCTAAACTTTTAACTTCTATCTTCTGATGAACACCAAACAGGATCTACTGAAAAATGTTGGAAAATAGAAGCTAATGCCATCTTTGTTAAGAACAAAACTCACTATAGTAAACAACATTCTTCAGTGTATCTTGTTTTGTTTTCAACAAACTAAAGACACTCAACCTGGTTTGGAACAACTGGAGGATGAGTAAATGATTACAATATTCATTTTGTCTGAACAATCTGTGTTAACAGCTATCACTCACTTGGATCAAAGACAGGCTTGCTTTTGCTGATGATCTCTGCAAAGTGGGACTTTTTCCTCTTCTTTCCCATGAGTGGGACGTCCTCTTTGCTCTTCTTTTTCTTCTCCTCTCTCTCTTTTTTTCTTTTCTTTTTAGAAACGGCCTGTTGGCTTGGGTCGTAATCAGCATCCATCTATTCAAGAGATTTAAGGTATGATTAATAGCCATACACAATGAACAAATCAGTTCGGTGCAGCATTTATATTGCGTGTTAAGAATAAGAAAGCATGCTAAAAAGTCTACTCTTACGATAAAGTCAGGATCATCACAGTTGGGCTGGTAGTGTTCCTCCGCAGTATAGTCTTCCTTGTGGTCATACTCTTCCTCATTCTGCTGTTTTCCCACCCATGTATCCCAGTTCCAATTTTCTTTAAAAAAAAAAAAAGAAAAAAAATTCATTATTTATACATTTATTAAAAAGTAACAATAATTTAAGCCATATATTTGCATATATTTGATAAAACATTCTTTAAAAATGTTTTCTGCTTTGATATATATATATATATATATATATATATATATACAGTATATAAGTATATATATATATATATATATATATATATATATATATATATATATATATATATATGGAGATGTATCAAATGTTCCTTATTAATATCAAAAACAGTAAAACATAGTTGTTTGGCAAATATTTTTCTAAATAAAATGAGACTATAATAGATTCAATAAAACATCATTCATTTAAAAAACCTAAAACTGTAATAATATAATCAATCTTTTTTGTCTATAAAGATTAATTTACCATCGTTGCTGAAAGTATTTTTTTCTCAAAAGTTGGTAGTGATTGTGAACATGGAGTGAACAACATCAAATATTGCAATCAAGATTCACAGTGTTACCTTCAAATTCCTCATCGCCTTCAAACTGTGGTTTTTCTTCTTCATTCTCTTCATAGTATTCATCACCAAAGACCTTCTGCAGATGGGAATTAAAAACAGTAGTTGTTTTTTTGCACTTGCATCACTATAAGCAGTCACACATTACTTTACATTTTACATTTTATTTCACATTATATTAATTTACTTATTATCACTACTAACAGTCTTGCCATGCTTTACTAATGTAATTAAGTTAAATTTTACAAAAAGAGTTTAAAATCGATAGAGCGCTGAAGAAACTACTGTTATACAATAACTTGCATATTTACCCTAATTAAGCCTTTGAACGTCACTTTAAGCTGAATACTAGTATCTTGAAAAATATGTAGTAAAATATAATGTACTGACATAATAGCAAAAATAAACTAAATAAGTTATTAGAAATGAGTTATTAAATCTATTATGTTTAAACTGTGCTTTAAGCATCTTCACTGTATTTTTGATTTTATAATTGTTTAATAATAAAAACAGTCTGCAGCAGCAGGGATATTGCGCGCTAGCACTTTAAGAATAGTGCAGCTCTGATATGGTTTCTCTTTCACGTGTCTTTGAATTCTCAACTTGTGTGTTTATTAAACAAATGACGGTTAATATGAATAAACACTAAACACCGGGCTCCGACACAAATGTGCATGTATTTGATCATTAAAGCGCTCACATTAAGATGGCGTTAGATGTGCGTGTGTGTGCTCTGCTGTCCGAGGCCAACACACAACAGCACATGCTCTTTCTCGCTTTTAAAAATATGAATGATGCGCATCCCGTGCTGCAAAAGTTACATTAATGATAATGTACCTCGATTACCTCGATTAATGGTTTTTCATAATCGTTAAAAGGCAAAATCGTAATCGGATTTTCGATTAATTGCACAGCCCTGCCATACCCATTTCTTACTTTCATGTGTAATTTATGAGATGCCATTTTCCACATTAACACTTTTTCATTTTAAAACACATGCATATTGTTATAGGGACGGCTGACACTTACGCTAATGTGACCTGTAATAAACTGATAAAGTCAGCTTGCAGATTCATAAAACAACTATTACGATATTACCAAAAATAATGCTTGTTGGATTGGATTATTATTACCAAAGATAATGGATTATCGGACACTTTAAATCATGAGTTTTGGTTCCAATTCTGCAGTTGTTTCAGACAAACCTGCATAAGCTGGTCGTGTTGCTGAGGGTCAAAGTCTCCGTCCAGGTCAACATCATTGAAGGCTAGCTGTTCATTTCCAGTTAGCTCCTGCAGTTTTTTCAGTTTATCCATGATCTCTGCTCGCTTTAGGTTCTTCAGTTCCTTCAACTGCTGCTGCTTCTGTTCCTTCTCCTGCAGGAGGTTAGTAAGTAAATTGTGAGAAATTAAACATTAAACTCTCAATTTTCTTACTTCTGAAAGATCATGTGACACTGAAGAGAAAATAACTAAGCTAAAAATCCATGTTTGCTGAATTCACTGCAGGAAAGAAGGGTGTAAAACTTATTTTTACAGAAGACCACTTCATGTGGCTGCTTTTAAAGGACTGGTTATAACTGTAGGACTGTATAAATGTTAGTACTAAACATTCAGTTAAAAAAAGTCTCTTTATTTCATTACAAAATAATAACGACAAACCGTAAAAAATGTCAAATAAATGCTAATTCTCAAAGTTATTTTAATATGAATCCTTTTTATTACTTTTCTCTAAACTGGGCCCATTTAAGAGAAAAATATCTATGGAACAACAACTAATTTTGAGCTGGGTTGCATAATGCATTATGGGAGATTATGGTCAATAAACGATATAAAGCAGCATGGGCATTTATTATAATAATGGGTTCACACTAAACAGGGTTCAACGCTAAGGATTCTTTCTACTAGCCCAATCGAGCCAGTGGTGAAAATTTTTACTTGCCCTGCCAAAATTTTCACTGACCCCAAGTAAATAGCTATTTCTTAGCCAAATATTTTAAATAATGCATTAAAAGCCATAGATAATTGTATACATACACTTTTTATACAACATAACTTTTCTTGTTATGTATATATAACTTTCTGTGTGTGTGTGTAATATACATATATATATATATAAATAAATAAAAGCAAAAACGACACCCACAGACATCATCACCAAATATAAATCAAAAAGGTCAGACTTTCTCATACATAGCCACATTTAAACTGTCATGTTTGTAAAAATCTATCTACTAAATTAATAAATCTATTTAAAAAAAAAAAAAAGCATCGGCTAGAATTTTGCATTATAGGCTTAAATTCTAGAGAGAAATAACAGATGAACCGAGACTGCAGTCAAATCATGAAGCAGATCAATGTTGATCCTTCTTTCAAAGTGTCAGTGCAGAAATAGGGCGACGCAGTGGCGCATTAGGTAGTGCTGTTGCCTCACAGCAAGTCGCTGTGCCTCCAAAAACAAAGGTCTAGGTGTGAAAGCACCCAAAAGCCTGGTTTATACTTCTGCGTCAAGTGATCGGCGTGACCCACGTGTAGCTGTGCATTTATACTTGTGCGCAATGTTTCTGTTGTTCTGCAATAACAGCTCCGAAACGCTAGTTGGCAGTGAGGTTAATGTTCCTCTGTGTCGAGTTTCTTTGCTGGTGTTTTGTTTTTCCTGAATGCTTCCTTAATGTACATGTGGTGCAAACTCGCTCATTTTGACACTGACAGCCTCAGCTTAGGGCTATACATCAACACGTAGGCTGCACCACTCTGTATCACACTCGTGCGCTTGACGCAGAAGTACAAATCAGCCTTAAGACTGTATTTGCATGCAACTGACAAACAGTCTCAGCCACATTAAACTTCAGTGACAAGGCAACACTGGTCTGATCTGGCAAGTAACCATCCTGTGTATTATCCAGAGCAAACTCGCATGCTGGCCATTGGGCAGTCCTTATTTTCAAGCCCTGCTAAACATGAAGCACCACGTCACTTGCTCTTAACTACTCACAGGATGTTTTTTGCTTCAATATCTTGAACTTGAGCTGAAGACACGTTTGAAGTCAATTCTGCGTGTTCACGGCAAATATGTTGCACATTCCCGTTTAGTGTGCCCAAATTGCATTGGATTTGTATGTAATTTAGTTGCATGGATACTTACATTTGCATTTAGTTTGAATAATATGCTCTGACAGACCACATAAAATTATATGGAAAGTCATTTTTGACACATTTTTTATGCATTTTACAACATTTGAAGCTTTTTACACAATACAATTTATTATATTTGAATCAACCTAAAAGCATCTCTGATAAGTGTAAGAGACCTTTTCTTAAAGGGTCACGAAACACCAAAACACATTTTTTGAGCTGTTGACAGTCGTATATGTGTCCCACACTGCTAAAAACACTATAAGGACACCTATATTTCACTAAAAAGTGTAAATTGGTTGTTTTTGCGTTATTTCAAGCAAATTCGTACTTCCGGTTTGAAACGAATTTTTGAAGCTGCGTCACGGTCATTACATAATAGCGTTGTATTCCAGCGTGCAGACTGGGCGTCTGTGCCAGAGTGAGTCTTATTACGTCTTACAGTGTGTTGCATTAATGCATGAGTAAGGCTTGGTTCAAACCAATCAGCGCGCTCTATTGTGCAACTTAATATTCATTACTATCACCGTGTTTTCAGGACAGAGACGCCACGTTGTGTTGGCAAAACAAGCGTGAAGTGTTGCTTTTATAGTTTGCTGCAGTTAAGTTTCGTTTTCATTTTCTCTCTGTGAGAGCTCAGAGTCACGTGTGGATTAAGTGTACGCGACGCGCGACAACAATAACTTACGTGTCTAAGGAGGATTATTGTTTACCTGAGAGCTGTTCTCATCTGCAAACGTTGAGATCTGGATTCGTTTGTAGTATTCTCTTCATAAAGACGCGGCTCTAGTTGCTGGTGATTGTCCTGTCTCTACAGATTTGGTAAGTGAGCGACCAGTGCTCTTTGTTTATTCAGTTTGTTTGTATCTAACAAACTATTGCACAGAGTGTAAACACGTTAGCACCACAACCAAACTTTAACCTCGTGTAGGGTTTTTACCGCATTTAGTGACCGGAATAACACGCGCGGCTTTCTGACACTACCTGTCGTGTGCATCTAAGTTTCCGGGAAATGCGGAGGTTTTTTTTTTCTCTCATTCGCCGTGCGGTATGAAACATTGCATGAAAAATACATGCTTAGAGCAGCTCCTCGAATCAAAAATCTTGTGTGTCGCGAGGGGCATGAATGAATTCCCTGAATGAAAGAGCCAAACTGCAGTTAAAGTCCACCATTTAATAATTTGGCAAATAATTCGACTACAGATGTCCATGTAGGTTAAACAGCATCACTTTCTCATGTGTGTGTGTGTGTGTGTGAGTGTGTGTATTTTGACTCTGAAACTCCCGCGTGCCCAAATAGACACTCCCACACCATCCCACTTTTCTTCCTCCGACACTCCCCCCTAAACAGAGCTGGACACGCCCACTTTTCTGACTTTTTTCAAAGTAGAGGTGTGAAAACACCCTGCTGAAACGAGGGGGTTTCATGGCCCTTTAAAGAAATGATTAAAAATCATGTTTACCTTCTTCTTCCTTTCTTTAACCTCTTCTCTCTTCCTCTTTCTCCTGTCGTCTTTGCTGCGGACAGAAGTTGCAATGTTGCGGGGATATGTTTTGACCTGTGGAGAAACAGTGGGTTGATGGGTAATGCTTGAAAAAAAAAGAGCTCATTTGAGGAAATGAACAGAACACAAATACAAATCAGTCTGATCATGAACTCTTCCTACTTTTCCAGCATCAGGCTCCTCAAAGCGGAAGTTGTAATGCCTCTCAAAGTCTTCCTGTTTATGCAGAAATGATTCTCCTTCATCCTCAGAATCATCCACATCATCCTGCATGAGCTCATTATATGTGGGGATCCTAAAACCATTCACAGATTCAGAGAAACTTATAAAATCATTCAAGGGCTAAGGATATTTTTTAAGAAATTAAAATGTTTACCAGACAAGGAATTAATTAATTGTTCAAAAGGAGAGATTTTTATCTATAGCTAGTTGACACTGTAGAGATTATAGTATATTGTGATTCTGAAAAATCAGCTTTGATTTAAAGAAATAAATTACATTTTTACTGTTTTTACAAAATATTGCATATAAAACAATGCAGCCATGCTGGGACAAACAAACGGATCCAAAACATCTTTTTTACTGGTTTTGTTGTATGAGTGCAATACTTGAGTCAGAACCTACCTCTCTTCATCCTCCTCCTCCATGTAGCCCTTGTTGAGCATGAAGTCCCGCAGGAAAGACTCTTTCTCATCTAACTGAGGATTGTTCCAGTAGTCCCGCAGATATTTCTGAATTAACATGCACATCAGTCAGTCCAAAATCTAATACTTAAAATCCAAACAGATCATCCTAAAATCTGATTCTGAACCACAAAACGATTTTTTTAGATTTATTAATCGCAAAGCTGAATACATAAGCTTTGAAATGATGTGTGGTTTGTTAGAATTGGACAATTGCCCAAGAATTTGGGCGATATTTGAAAATCTGGTATCAGCCGGAATTAAGCTGGTTGCAATGCATATTAGTAATCCAAAATTAAAGTGAGATATTTCAAAGGTATGAAATTTACAAAATATCTTCAAGGAATATAATCCTTATTTAATATTCCAATGATTTTGGGCATGAAAAAATGTTAATGAATGGCTATTCCTACAAATATACTCATGCAACTTGAGTTTTGTGGTCACAAATATCTTAAAAAAACACTGACCATGTCCTTAAGTTCTTCTTTCTCATCCAGCTCTGTTTGACCCTTCAGCCATTCCACATAGTCAGCTTCCTCTTTGTCCTTAAACGCAGAAATAAACAACAGGCCTATCACTGGATACAGTTTTATTAAACACAATTATATGACATCCATCCAGCCGAAAGCTACAGTGTCAGCACTTTTTCCTCTTGTGTTTTGGTCCTCCGTGTCAAAAACTGTCCGTCACCATCACTGTCCTCATCATCACTGTCTTGAACAAACTTGCGCAAACTGACAAAGAGAAATACAGACAGAACAGAATAAAATGAAGAAACTGATGCAAGCAGAGATCATGAAAACTGAGGAATCTGCAGGAGCTAATCGGAAATGAGCAGCTGGCCTTTAATAAAAATACAGGGGACACTTTAATACCTTTCCTGTATCTCCTTTTGCTCCTGGATGTATGTGGGAGATGCAGCTCTCTGTAATACAAACACATTCATATGTAGTTGTTTATGGTAATCAAGCTGTTTCAGGCACTAAAGAATGCACTTAAATGAATAGAGGAGGTCATTTCCATTTGAATTCATTTCATCTATACATTGTTTATTTAAATAATGAAAACAAAAACACACAAACCAACAAGTCGACATTCATCTGCAATGTGACTAACTTTGATTTACAAACTAAATCAATATACACAACAAGAAAAAAACATTGAAAAGTTTTATAATTAAATTATTAAATTATTTAAATGAAATACTATTAAAAATAGTAACATAACTGAATAATTAAAAAAATATTATTAAAATTACCTAATGCTGACAAAAATATCTTACCCTTTAAAATTATGATTATCATTTTAATAATATTCCAAGTTTTTTTATTTATATAAACTGCAAGACAGAGCAAAAATGTGGCATAAAATAAATGATCATTTTTGTTCTACGCTGATTTCTAATATCTTAAGTATGTTTACCTCCTGCATCTTTGCGGAGATTTCTTCATCAGCACTGTCATCGTCTTCATATTTTCTGCAATGAAGCACACTCGGTTACATTATACAAACACTTTGAGTGAATGAGAACCATTAGAAATGTGAATAAATAAATTAATCTGCCAATTATTTTCATTAACCTCCCAACCATGCAAGCGAAGTAACAATGACAATTTACTGTCTGATTAATACAAAAGTAGATATATTACAGTGAAAAGTTTCAGCCAAGTCCATCATTTCTAAACCGATGATTTCTTACCCTCCTCTCTCCAGGATGACTTTCCTCTCATAGTCCTTAAGGAACATGGGTTTCTCTGACTGTTTCGAAGTGGACGGTTGCTCATCGCTGCCTGACCCAGATGCTGATTAAAACAAAAAGTACAGTACAGCATCTTAATACAAATCATAAATTGGAGCAGACATTGTACTATAAAGATCTTTACATACTTTCTTCTGTGTAGAATTTGGCATCTTTCTGATAGATCTTTGGATCCTTTTTCTTCAGAAGCGAGAGAGTTCTGTAAAAATCTCTGTCTAGCTTTGGATCCAGCTCCTGTATGTACAGTATATAAGAGTATTAGACATGGAAACATAGACTGAGGTAGAGTTAAGTTTATATTCACACATTCATTCATTTTAACAATCCTTATATGCTTTACCACATTATTTTGAATAATCGGTCTGAAATCACATGTAAGTTAGACTTCAAAACAACACTAGCACTGTTTAATTGACTGTGGACAGTGCTGCACTTTGATAGTCATTGGCTGCTAATATGATTTCCTTAGTTAGAATTTGCAAAAAAAAAAAATACTTTTCTGAAATTATATTATTAATGAGAATACCTAAACATTTGAAAAAGAGTTTCAGTAGAGAAAATGAATGATTATTTTACCACTTCACTGTCATCAGAGTCAGATTCGGAGGAGTTTGATGAATTTTCCTCTTCCTGGTCTCCATAACGGTCCTTCACTGGAACATTCAGCAGAAACATTATAGTAATGCAATTGGCTGTTAATGTACTTAATATCAGGATATGGAGTGATGTAGACTTTATATATATATATATATATATATATATATATATATATATATATATATATATATATATATATATATATATATATATATATATATATATATATACTTTTTGGCTAGAAATTAATGGCTACAACAACACACAAAAGCAAAACAAAATTAATAACCTAATGTCCAGAAAATACATTGAGGTGGTTTGAAGATGGGTCTGTTCAATGGTAATTACTACATTAAGTAAAAAAAAGTTGTAAACCAATCATTTCACTTTATAAGTCCTCTATAGAAGCCATGAACATTAGTTTGGTTTTGCTTGTATTTGTTTTTTTAATCTCTAAAAGTACCGTTATGCATTTACTTGCATTTAATATATGGGCCCACAATTTCAGCTTAAAATATTTAATATTTAACTGAAAAAAACTAATTAAACTATCCCTTTAACAAATGTAAAGGCAAAGCATCTCCCAAAATTAAAATGGTTAGTCTCATGTCTCAAGAATATTTTTGTGAAAATAACATCCACACTATTTGCTACTACTGTAAAATAAAAGCACATAAACAAGGAACATTAACATTAAGACATTTCAATCTCCACTTGTGCCTAAAATAGATAGACAGACAGAAAGAAAGACAATAAGGTAGACAGACAGACAGACAGACAGACAGACAGACAGATAGATAGATAGATAGATAGATAGATAGATAGATAGAATTTCTCAATAGCTTTGATATTAATACCACAGTGCTTTGGAAGAGATTTATAGTACCAGTTGTTTTGTTTGGGGTGAGTTTTTAACCTCATATATATATATATATATATATATATATATAGAGAGAGAGAGAGAGAGAGAGAGAGAGAGAGAGAGAGAGAGAGAGAGAGAGAGAGAGAGTCATATTTTTAAGGAAGAGGCAAATAATACCACAATTTTACTGCAGTAACCATATTGTTTAAACTGTTATAGTTACTATGGTATTTGTATTTATTTTCACATCACTTCACTTCACTTCACTTGGACATAAACGTAGATAAAAGATTATTGATGTTTATAAATGTAACTAAAGCATTTCTACAACAAAACTCAAGAAAACCACACTTATTGTTGATATAAATATACACTTTCGTATTCAACATGTAGTAAATAACGCATGCTAGTACAACTTACGTCTCTGCAGTTCCTCTTTCTGGCGATATTTCTCATACTTCTCTGCAAACTTCTTGTTAATCTTGAGATCCGACATGTTGTCGTATAACTGTGCGGTATCTTCTGATTTGAGATCAGATTAATATCTCGATAATTCAAACTCTCACGTTGGACATGTTGCTCTGCTGTACGGCATGGGCACGTGACCTACGACCCTCTCCTACGTCATATAGTTCAGGGTTCAACTATCGCCTCCTTTCGTCGATTGTTTTTCTACTAACATTTTACTCCTTGTTAGAAATTAAACCGGTCCTTTCTGTCATATATTTAGAACGATTTTTTTTTTGGAGTCTGTGATAAAAACAAGCAGCTTTTGTTGCCGCGAGTGAGTAACACATGTCCTGAAAAGTGAAGCCAAAACATTTCATCGCTCCCTAGTGGCGGGATGTTGTATAACTCATAAGCCACGCAGTCTCCACCTAATCAGGGGTGCCCAAACTTTTTCCTATAAAAAGCTAAAAGGCAAACTTGATCGAGGCTAGTGGGCCGAAGCACCTTTATTCTATTTTGAGTGATGTAAACAATAACAATATTGACCGGACCTTCCTGTTTTACATTTTAAAATTCCATAGCTTCTGAGAGTCCAAAAAGTTCCACATAATGTTATGATAACTGTTAACACCTGTTATGATAACACCAAGTTATAATTGAATCGCCTCTTACAACAAGCAGGAAATGTTCATGGGCCAATGGCATCACCACATTGAAATGGCTGAAGGTATATGCCATATAGGTAATTTTCTCTAATGATTAAGGCCAGACAGAATGCGGACCTTTTTTGCTATTTCAGCGCCGAATTTAGTTTAAAATCTGCGGATTTGTGCAGAATTATTTTGTGAGTAGGCTTAGGCTATCATGACTAAAGCCTATGAACTTAAAAGTAATACCTTTTTAACTTGTATTTAATGTTTACAATGCAAATTCTATTAGATCCACTTTGGTAAACAAAGCAAGTCTTCTATTTAATATATCATTTAAACTGTACAACTGTACAAACTGTAATTGTGAGTAAATTATATTAACATTTTCATATTAGTCAATAATTATACTGTAATGATTTAAAACTGAATAAATCTAAATTTACACACAAGTATAAAAACAGAATCTATGATGGACTAAAAATTTGCGGAAATCTGCGCGCACAGATACTATGTGGGCCTAAATTACTAAAACAATGCTTTATATTAACTAATAAAGTATTTTATGTTAACTAATACAGTGTTTTTACATTTTGTAATTAACTTTTTACAGTTAAAACAAAACTAGTTTATAACAAAATTATTGTAGTTTTTGCTTTGATTTGCTCGACGATGTCATCTGTCCTCCATCTGTTGAGTGACTGTATTTACAGTTTTAAAAAAAACTAGATTCATTTACAACATTTAATTGAAACAATAAAACAGCAATAAAACAAACAAAAAAGAGAGTTCAGATCCCTGAAGTGTGTTAAAGGCATTCGGTTAAGCCCTCTACATCATTCTTACTCTCCTCTCAGATGGGATGGTAGTCAAAATCATAGGTTACAATGGGCCAAACATTGGTCCGCGGGCCATGGGCATCAGATATACATAAAAAAGAGGTGAGCAAAAAAAGAGTGATAATCTGAGAATAAAATACTTAAGTAATTTGATACTATAAAAACGTTGTTTTAAGGGTATAGATTTGAGTTATTATACAGAAATGTCTTCTTTTGTTATAGAAAATGTTTAAAAATCAATCACGTTTGATCTTGGACCACATTAATTATATATTTTTTTATTACAACACAGACTATAACCTAATGATTTTCTTATATTTTCAAAAAAAAAATTCAGCTTAGTCCCTTTATTAAACTGGGGTCGCCACTGCGCAATGAACCGCCAACTTATCCAGCATATGTTTTACGCAGGCTGGACGGTGGTGCATTGGGTAGCATGTTCGCCTCACAGCAAGAAGGTCGCTGGTTTGAGCCTTGGCTGGGTCAGTTGGCGTTTCTGTGTGGAGCATGCATGTTCTCCCCATGTTCGTGTGGGTTTCCTCTGGTTTTTCCCACAAGTCCAAAGACATACGGTACAGGTTAAATGGCTAGGCTTAATTATCCGTAGTGTATGTGTGTGAATGAGTGTGGATGGATGTTTCCCAGTGATGGGTTGCAGAAGGGCATCCGCTGTGTAAAACATATGCTGGATAAGTTGGCGGTTCATTCCGCTGTGGCGACCCCTGATTAATAAAGGGACTAAGCCAAAAAGTAAATGAATGAAAATATAAGAAAATCATTAGGTTATTGTTTATGTGTTGTCATAAAGAAAACCTTTTTTTTTTTTTACCTCTTTTGTGCATTTATTTAAAGATCACATTTCATTTTGTCACTGGCATTACCTACTTTTTGGCAATGTTAAAGGTTTTTATAAAAAATTTCTTGATTTTCATCAGTACACTGTAAAAAACGCTGGGTTTCACACAATTCATTCATGTTTTTTACAAAATGAAGTGGAGTGGAGATAAAACAATTAAGCTGTCCTTAAAAAACAAAAGAATTGTGTTAATTCAATTTATTTTAAATAAGTAGTTTTAACAAGCAGTAAAAGTCCCTTTTTTGTGAATGTAGTTATACAGAAAAAAGACGAATAATGCAACAAATTAGTATTATGGTTTATGTGTTGTTTGAATGCATGTATTATCTATTTATGTGTGTTTGCTAAATTATTGCTCTGTTATTTACTATTTTCCCTGGTTCCATGCTTTATTTTACATTGTGGAGAGTTTATTGTTAGGCTACATGATGGGTCTGTCTGTCTGTCTGTTCTTTGTTTTTCTATGTCTGCAAAAAACTATAATACTAAAAAAATATTCAAAAGTGTTATTTAATGATGATAGTTTATTTTGTATGTCATTTGCATCATATATTTGTTTGTTTTGAGCACAGTGTATTTCGATCTGTTTTTTTTACCTTCAAATAAACCACCTACCTTCTGTATAAAATATCAATTATTGCCTGTTATTGATGACTTAAAAGTGTTTAATTGCTGGCAGCTAACTCTCTGCAACTCTCACATGGTCATCCACTGAAGCTAAGCAGGGCTGGGCCTGGTCAGTACCTGGAAACAATACCTGGAAAAGAGACCACATAGGAAAGCTAGGTTGCTGCCAGAAGTGGTGTTAGTGAGGCCAGCCTGCGGTTTGTGTGGGTCCTAACGCTCCAGTATAGGGAAGAGTACTCTATACTGCTCAGTAAGTGCTGTCTTTCGGATGAGACGTTAAACAGAGGTGTGGATGTTAAAAATCCCAGGATGTAGGAGTTTAACCCTGGCATTCTAGCCAAATTTGCCATCATGGTCTTTCTGACCTCCTAACCATTCACATTTCATAATTAGGAAATTCCTCTGGCACAATATGGCTGCTGTTGCGTCATTTAGGTGAATGCTGCACACTGATTCTACCCATTGTGTAAAACGCTTTGAGTGTCCAACAAATATAAATGTAAGGAATTAATAATGGTTCAAATACCATATTGTTTCATTTCAAAATATAAAGAAATAGCCAACCTAAAGAGTCTTTCGAGTGTAATGTTTCTAGGGTCAGATACAGACTTTAAAAATACAAATTCCATCACGAGACCTTTGTTTGAGACCAAGAGGAGTATAACTATGGTAAGTATAGAGACAAAACAAAGGTTTGAAAATGTAAAATGGAGTTGAGATGATTTTGACTACAGTTATTTGGGGGCCCTAAGCAATAAAAAAAAAAAGTTTACAAACTAACCATATACAATGGGCCATATTTGTGGTTAGATTTGAATATTTGCATGTGTAGATCAGAAGGAACCTCCACTATTCATGTTTTGAAAAGGATTATTACCGTTAAATATAGACAGATTTTACAACATATAATAGAAAATTTATAAAAGAGTTATAATATTGATTCGCGATTAATAGGCTTCTTAGCATTGGTTGGGCCCTCTTATTCCCCGGATTGATTGTCTCGCTTATTGGTTAAGTAAGTTCCCGACTACAAAAACAGTCCTTTGTCTGTGGGCTCTGGGGAAAGAAAAGTGTCATGTTTCAGTCGACCACTAGAGGGCAGAACCTCAGGTCAAATAAAGCAAAGTTTTTATTTTTCGTTAATAATAATGATATTGTAAACATACGACGTCGATACATATTTATATATTAATTAGTAATCATATTATTGATATTTAGAAACAAGCACCAGTTCGGGTTTCTACACAGACCCAGTTCTGGTAGTTTTTGACGACTACAGAGAAAGGTAAACAGTCCCCTTTCTACATATAGAAATGGCAAGAGGCCAAAGTAAATTAAAACATAAGGGCAAGTTCAGAGTTCTGCTTTTACCCACCATTCATTGCTCTAATCTCCTTCCTCACCCTCCAGTGCTGATGTGGTGCCGACTTCCTTTCTTTAAACTCCAGTTATGGCTAAGAGGAAGGAACTTGTATTTGACTTTGATTTATTTTACCCCAGAATTTCCCTTTTAAGCAGATGAAATTTAAGAAGCAAGATATAAATGTGAGGATGCTTTTTTGCCAAAGGACAAACACACTAAATAAACATTGTCAGTAACATTGTGTCCAGAGTATCTGCAGCTAATCATTGATGTCAGATCCTGGCCTCTTTTTTTCTGGGAGATTATTTGAAAGAAAACAGTTACATGCTGTTCTGGACACACTATGATGTACGCTTTGTGTTTTTAGAAATTAATTAAAGCCAAATAAACTAAGACACTAATCCTAAAGCACTGGAACATTTGGTGGGCATAAATTATAGAGGGCAAAAACAACAGATTTGCTGAAACATACTGTTTTTGGATCAGTGCGATGTGTTTTTTGCCAGACAAAAATCAAATCAAATAAATATTTAGCAAGGACAACTTAAATTGATTACAACGCTCTTATGTTATAAATAAAAAGATATAAATAAATGTTCTTCTCAACTTTAAGCTGTTAAATTGTTTTTAAAAGTGATTATAATATGAAACGTTTTGTAATATTATAATACTTTTTGAAAGATTGTGTGACACTGAGGACTGGAAATTCAGCTTAGTCACCACAGGAGTAAATTACAATTTTATCAACACTTCTTGGGGCCCTAAACAATTAGTTTTTTTTTTTTTTTTTTTTTTTTTTGAGGGGGCATCTC